GGCGGAGCCAGGGACGGAGCGGAGGCGGAGCCAGAGTGAGCCTAGTGAGGGGCCAGCCTGGGAGGGGGCGGGACGGAGCCGTGCCGGAGCCTGGGCGGGGCCGGGAGGAGCGGGTGGGAGGGGCAGGGGCGGGGCCGTGCTGGAGCTTGGGCGGGGCCGGGAGGCACGGGTGGGCAGGAAGGGGGTGGCACTGTGCTCGTCTGGGCGGGGCCTGGAGGGGGCGGGGCCTGGAGGCGCTGCTGGGAACGGGTGGGCGGGGCCCGCGGACGCCGCGTCCCCTCAGGTCCGCGTCGGGAGGGGGTGGGCGCCCGCCCGAGCTTGAGCACTGGGCGCTGTGTTCGGGGGACGCGGTCTGGGTGTTTGCGATCCGCCCGGTTCCTGGTCGGTCCTCCCAGCCCTCGAGCATCGGGCCCATGCCCATCCTCCCATCGCTCTTGCTGGGCCCGCAGACCCGAGCCCTGAGCCGGGAGGCGTCGCCACATCACATCCCTGCTCGCCCTCCAGCTCTCCCTCTGCACGCACGCAGAACACTCCAGAGACGCGGGGCAGGGCTGGTTCAGGAGCCCTCTGCCCACCCCGTGGCCTCTGCACGGCCTGTAATGTCACAAAGCGGGTTCACACTGACAACAGCTCTGCAGAAGACTGAGCCAAACAACATACAGCTCCTCCTTAAGGGCCCCGCCCAGAAATTAGGGCTCTCCTGGCATAACGTTCTCCCATCCTATTTAAGCCACCCTTCCATTCCTCTTCGCACACCCAGTTCTTTACAGCCTGGTTCACGCCTCTACAAAAGAAAAACCCTTCAGCCTAACCCTTGAGACGCATGCTGATCTTAGTGTCTGAGAGTTCTCCCTATTACAATAGTCCTCTTTCCTCCCCTTCCAACAATCCTTTTGAGTAAAACCTCCCCTTACCAAGCCTGGAGGAGCCTTGGCGCAGTGGTTAAGTGTATTCAGATGCTAACTGAAAGGTTGTCAGTTTCGAACCCACCAGCGACTCTGAGGGAGAAAGATGAAGATTACAGCCCAGGAAGCCCTATTGGGTAGTTCGGCCCTATCACATGAGGTCGCCATGGGTTGGAATCAACTTGACAGCACCCAACAACACTTAAGCCTGAAATCTGTTTTTATCTGACAACATCCATGAGCTCAGTGAATTCATTCACCACCCATAAGGTGGAAGGTATTGGCTAAGAGGCCCACAGTCATGCCCAATGACACTACTTGAGTGAGTGGTAGAGATGGGACATCAGACTCCAGTTGTTGTTATGGGTGCTGTTGAGTTGATTCCGACTCATAGCGACCCTGTATACAACAGAATGAAACACTGCCTGGTCCTGCACCATCCTCACCATCCTTCCTATGTTTCAGCCCATTGTTGCAGCCACCGTGTCAATCCATCTCGTTGAGGGTCTTCCTCTTTTTTGCTGACCCTCTGCTTTGCCAAGTACAATGTCCTTCTCCATGGACTGGTCCCTCCTGATAACACGCCCAAAATACATAAGACGAAGTCTCACGACCCTCGTTTCTAAGGAGCATTCTGGCTGTACTTCTTCCAAGACACACTTGTTGGTTCTTCCGGCAGTCCATGGTGTATTCAATATTCTTCACCAACACCATAATTCTAATGCATCAATTCTTCTTCATTCTTCCTATTCATTGTCCAGCTTTCACATGCATATGAGGCAATTGAAAATACCATGGCTTGGGGCAGGCACAGCTTAGTCCTCTAAGTGACATCTTTGCTTTTTAACACTTTAAAGAGGTCTTTTGCAACAGATTTCTCAACACAATGCGTCGTTTGATTTCTTGACTGCTGCTTCCATGGGCGTTGATGGTGGATCCAAGTAAAATGAAATCTTTCACAACCTCAAGCTTTTCTCCATTTATCATGATATTGCTTATCAGCCCAGTTGTGAGGATTTTTGTTTTATGTGGAGGTGTAATCCATACTGAAGGTTGTGGTCTTTGATTTTCATCAGTAAGTGCTTCAAGTCCTCTTCACTTTCAGCAAGCAAGGTTGTGTCATCTACATAACGCAGGTTGTTAATGAGTCTCCCTCCAATCCTGATGCCCTGTTCTTCATATAGTCCAGCTTCTCGGATTATTTGCTCAGCATACAGATTGAATAGGTATGGTGAAAGATACAACCCTGACGCACACCCTTCCTGACTTTAAACCATGCAGTATCCCCCTTTTTCTGTTGGAACCACTGCCTCTTGATCTACATACAGGTTCCTCACGAGCACAATTAAGTGTTCTGGAATTCCCATTCTTCGCAATGTTATCCATAATTTGTTATGATCCACACAGTTGAATGCCTTTGCATAATCAATAAAACACAAGTAAACATCTTTATAGTATTCTCTGCTTTCAGCCCGAATCCATCTGACATCAGCAATGATATCCCTGGTTCCACGCACGTCCTCTTCTGAATCCAGCCTGAATTTCTGGCAGTTCTGGTTGACGTACTGCTGCAGCTGCTTTTTAATGATGTTCAGCAAAATTTTACTTGTGTGTGATATTAATGACATTGTTGGATAATTCCCACATTCTGTTGGATCATCTTTCTTTGGAATAGGCATAAATATGGATTTCTTCCAGTCAGTTGGCCAGGTAGCTGTCTTCCAAATTTCTTGGCACAGAGGAGTGAGCACTTCTGGTGCTGCATCTGTTTGTCGAAACGTCTCAGTTGGTATTCCGTCAATTCCTGGAGCCTTGTTTTTTGC